AAAAAAAAAAAAAAAAAGATTTTGTGTGTATTTTATTCAAATTGTGTGCTTTATCCATAGGACCTGTTTTGTCCCTATTCTCAAGAATCACTGAAATGTTAAAGTTGCTGAACTCCAAACCATATTATGAAAGCTGAATCTTTCCAAGAAGGTTTTTAAAAGCCATTCATGCATATGCTTAATGTCATCGGACTCTGGATTCGAAGGTAGTCCAGGTCTAACAAAGTATGTATCCACTGCAGGGATGGTCAAATATTTCTTTATCAAATGTTTTATTATATTTCCCGGATTATTAACAAACCAAAGATCATAAGATTTGTTTTGAGTTTTCACTCCAACTTTTACATTTTCAACTATGAAAACACATATTATTACAATTAACACATGTATGTGTTAATTGTAATTGTAGAATACAATTTTGTCTAATTTAGTTTTAACAACAACTGCATTTATGTTTGTACTCTGTGTGAGCTGAGATGGAATTTCAGCACTGATTAAGAGTGAAAACGACAGATTAAGAAGAGATTTAGCAATTGCTCTTTTATTTGGCTTATAGACCTGGGGTTGAACCCTTTATTGTTACCAGCTGTTCTGTAAGTTTCGTTTTTCATGAAACGGGTTACGTGTGACGCACAGAACAGTTTCTTTCAAGAGGTCATGTGCGAAATTGTGCCCCCTGTGAAAATCTGTCCCCCTGTGTCGGGAGCGCGCATTGCAGCCAGAGAGGCGGATCCTGTGGATCTGACCATTTTCACGGAGCTTCTGATCGATTTCTCGGTAAAAACTACTTATATATCATGTCAATGTTGCAACTTTCAGTTTAATCGGCAGCTATCAAAATAAAAAAATAAAAAATTAAACGAGGTCCTGTGTGGGTGTCTCTTTACGCTGTTTTGTGTTATTTTAAACGCGAAGAGAATCGATCTTTTTCCAACTTTTGTCTCTTTAGCCTGACAAATAAAAGTCAAGTCAACAAAACAGGTTTCCAACACGTAGTGTGCATTTATAATTTTTCATTTCTGATACAAGAGGATGGAAGTTGACTGACAGCAAGGCACCAAAATAAAGACTTCCTGAAAAGATCAGAGTGTAAACCTTTTGGTAAATCCCGTTCTAATATAACATAAAACAGATTACTGGATTAAGGAAATGTCTAGTATGCTATCACACATAATAATTTTTGAGAATTTGGAAACAATTGCTTTTTATTTCCCAAAGTTATGGGGGGAGAAGAAGAGAGAATGGATATTTCAGCTGCCTGAAATAATCTGTTTCCCGTCTAAAAATTGAAACAAATCAATGTGAATGCAAGTCTTTAACTGTGTTAATTCCTCTCATCATCAACAACAAAGCCTGTGATTTTGATAACATGTGCTCTTTATTTGCCAAAATTAGGAGGGGGGAACACAATATTTTAGCTCTTTCAGCCACCTGAAATAATCTGTTCCCCCTACATGAAATGGACATGAACAGTGAATTACTTTTTTTGTTACCTAAAATTTTAACCATTAAATGAAGCTGTGCATTTCAGTTTGCAGAAAAACTCCTAGCAAAAGAGGTTGTGGATTTTCCTGTTTCCACTGCGGCGTCTACAGCATGAGGTTGGACATTGCTGTGAGACTTATTCTTAACAGTGGTGATTAGAACATTATTATTCTTATTTGAGTGTCAATGAACATTTTTATCATGATTATGTACTTAGCCAAAACTTAAACTTAAAACAAGATCTGGTCTAATTCCAAAACTACATCAGCTCGACTCTTCTAACCTGGACTGGATTATTCTGCTTAAATAACTGTTTTCATATTCCATGTTGACGTATTAAAAAAGTAATTCACTGTTCATGTCCATTTTATGTAGGGGGAACAGATTATTTCAGGCAGCTGAAATATCCATTCTCTCTTCTTCTCCCCCCATAACTTTGGGAAATAAAAAGCAACTATTTCCAAATTCTCAAAAAATTATTATGTGTGATAGCATACTAGACATTTCCTTAACCCAGTAATCTGTTTTATGTTATATTAGAACGGGATTTACCAAAAAGTTTACACTCTGATCTTTTCAGGAAGTCTTTATTTTGGTGCCTTGCTGTCAGCCAGTGTCCCTCCTCTTGTATCAGAAATGAAAAATTATAAATGCACACTACGTGTTGGAAACCTGTTTTGTTGACTTGACTTTTATTTGTCAGGCTTAAGAGACAAAAAGTTGGAAAAAGATCTATTCTCTTCGCGTTTAAAATAACACAAAACAGCGTAAAGAGACACCCACACAGGACCTCGTTTAATTTTTTTTTTTTATTTTGATAGCTGCCGATTAAACTGAAAGTTGCAACATTGACATGATATATAAGTAGTTTTTACCGAGAAATCGATCAGAAGCTCCGTGAAAATGGTCAGATCCACAGGATCCGCCTCTCTGGCTGCAATGCGCGCTCCCGACACAGGGGGACAGATTTTCACAGGGGGCACAATTTCGCACAAGACCTCTTCTGCTGGAGAGACCCAGACGGAGGAACTACGGGCAGACCCATTTTTATTGCTTTAACTCAGATTTGATCCAGATTCCTTTTTCTTATTTTAGTTTTGCCTTCTGCAGAACATGGATTCAACCTCTGCTAAAGGTTGGTATTTCTTCTTTTAAACACAGGGCTTATTCATGCTGAGTAAAAAGTATCCTGACCTCACTCTAAATCAAACTTTGACTTTTCATTCTCGACACATTTTGTTTTGTCCAGTCAAAGACCTGAGAATCGTCCTCCTGGGAAAAACCGGATCTGGTAAAAGTGCAACAGGGAATACCATCCTGGGAAGGGACGCTTTTATTACAGAGATGTCTGGTTCCTCTGTGACGAAGGGTTGCCAGAAAGAAACCGTCCACCTGGACGACCGAACAGTGACTATCATTGACACTCCTGGGGTATTTGACACATCAATTTCTGATACAAAGCTGCAAGGTGAAGTAGAGGACTGTATCAGTCTGTCTCTCCCTGGACCACATATATTCCTGCTTGTTGTCCGTGTCGATGTACGTTTCACAAAGGAAGAAAAGAATGCCATCAGCTGGATCACAGACAACTTCGGCGAGGAAGTCTCCAAGTTCACGGTTGTTGTTTTCACCAGGGGGGATCAGCTCCAAGACACTATTGAGAACTATTTGCACAAAAGCCCTGATCTGAGGAAGCTGACCAGTGACTGTAAAGCTGGATATGTTGTGTTTGACAACACAAGGCGAGAAAATCGCACTCAGGTGGCTGATTTGTTTGAGATTATAGATAAGACAGTACAACTAAATGGAGGGCATTATACCAAAGACCTTTTCATAAAGGCCCAGAATAAATTATGGTGGCGCCAGAAGGGCAGTGATGCGTATGCTCTAGGTGAACGTTTATTGTGGTATGGAGCAGGTGCAGCAGCAGTCCTTGGTTTTAGGCTTAGAAGGCTGTAGCTCAGTTTATGCTAAAAATGTTGGCACTTAATAATGGAGGTGCAGTGATTATGTAGAATATTGATTGGTGGATTGAATTTAAGACAGACTATAGCTAAGGTAATTAAGAAAAATCACTGAAATGTAGCTCATAGCGAAAATTCAACCTGGAAGACTCCATCCCCTCCGTTCGTCCATCGGCGTCATGCTCATCTCCGACCTCAGCTCTGGACCTCAACTGGCGTGTCCAATCATCAATCAAGCTCTGCATAAAAGGATCCACACCCAAGCCGTCAGCCGCTTCCCAGCTGCGTTCAACCCACCACCGCCCCTTCTCCACCCACATCCATCAGCTCTCCAGGATGGCATCCTTTCCAGACCTCCACCATCAGTGTCGGGCCCCGGGGGAGAACATCCCTAATCGATTATCGGGATGTTCATCGAGTTCACATCAAATCTCAGCTCAGATCAGCTGCCGGGGCCCGAGCGCCAAAGAACTGTTATTCATTGCTGTCATTAAATCTTCTAATTGTTCCTTTTTCTTCGTCTGAGTCTTTCCAGATTGAAATTGAGTTATATATGTAAGGCTTTTAAACTTATGTACTCTTCTTTATTAATTAAATCTTACCTGTGCTTAATTCTTTCTTAGTAACTGATCAATATTGTGTGGGGGAAGTGTTATTTTTTTTGTTTTATTTGAAAATAAAAACTACACAAATAGCTGACATTTGAAGATGAGTTTTTTTTCTTCCTTTTTTGCAATAATGGTGTAGAACATGAAAGACCATTTCTGCCTCTCTCATTAAAAAACAAACTTGCATCTCATGACTTGGCTATCTAATAATTATGAGATACTCTCATAATAATGTGTACCAAATTCAAGTAAACTATTATCGCCAAGGGAAAACTTGCTATGCAGGCAGCAGCAAAGATATAAAATAGTCACACAAGAAAAACAAGGACAAGCCCATATTAATCCTTAGAGTGTGGGGCTGGAATTAAACGCGCTGATATCAGCAGCAATAACAGTCAGTAATATGAGCTGCAATGCATCCAATCCAATGCAAATCTGCAAAGCACCGGTGGGAGATAAGTTAGCAAAACAATGTCGTAAAAACAGACTTATCCTGCAGGAACAGAGAAAATAAAGAGGAAGAAAGATGAACATATGCTTGCATGTGTTTCAGTACTGTAATGTTTATCAAAAGGATTTGTGGAGCTGCTAATAGAAAATTAGTTTGACAGCAGCAGAGATAAATGGTCCAGATGGCTATTGAACGGTCCAGTTCAATAGCCAACATTTAAGCTAGCATCTTTGTATTTGTGTGGATCTGAGTTTAAACTTTAAATGAGTTAATTGTCAAGGTTGGCCCTATATATTTCTGAGGTTTGTTTTGGCTTCATATTGTTTGATAACAATATTTAAAATGTCTTAATGTTTGACATTGTATAACAAAATGTTTTATGTCAGCCTACCTGGCTACTACAATAATATATTATCCATCTACTCTAAGCTGTAGTTTGCGATGTGTTGTTTGCTGCTGAGCAGGATCATTTATGTGGCTAAAATAAATATTATTCTTACATTAACTTATTAGTTGTGTAACTTCTAAGTTATAAGTTCTGTAAGCTAAAAACTAAGTTATGAAACTTCTCCAGGAGCACTGTTAAAGTTAGTTTTAGGTGCAGAATCAGCTCAGCACTGGTCCACATTCTCAGGTGAGAAAGACTCACCAAGTATAAATCCTAGCAAAATTTAATTTAATCAAAGAATGTCATGAATATGTGTGTAAGTATTCCGTCTTAATTCCAATGCATACTAGTTGCTTTTGTTGCTTTTAACACCACCAGATGATACATGCATAAATATATACGTCAGAGATGCAGAAAGTTTGTAGCAGCTGTGCGAACGATCTAATCGTCTGACTGTTGATTGCAGCAGTCCACACTGCTAGCAGAAATAGAGGGCCCCAAAACCAAACCACTTCACTAGATCATGTAAATATCCCAACAAAGGTTTATAATGCATGCTTGAAGGAGGGAGGTTTATAGAGCAGAAGGAAAGTAAAGCAAACATGATCAGGCTGCTTGACATGAACAAGGACACTGTTCATGCTCACCCTGTGTGAGCTAAGATGGAGTGTCAACATTGATTAAGAGGAAAATTCACAGATTAGGAAGCAGTTTGAGTGACCGCTCTTTTTATTTGGCTCATCAGATAAATTAGCTTAGAGCTCAGATCAAAATGTAATTTGCTTCTCATAGCCCCGCGTTTGAAACCTTTAAGTTTCGTTTTTCATGAAACGGGTCACATGTGACGCACAGAACGGTTTCTTTTTACCGGAAATGCTGCAGAAAATCAGTCCTTGGGAAGGTAGAGCTAAGGGCAGACCCATTTTTTGTTGCTTTAACTCAGATTTGATCCAAATTCCTTTTTCTTATTTTAGTTTTGCCTTCTGCAGAATATGGATTCAACCTCAGCTAAAAGTTGGTTTTTATTCTTTTAAACACATGGCTTATTCATGCTCAGTAAAAAATATCCTGACCTCACTCTAAATCAAACTTTGACTTTTCATTTCTCAACACATTTTGTTTTGTCCAGTCAAAGACCTGAGAATTGTCCTCCTGGGAAAAACCGGATCTGGTAAAAGTGCAACAGGGAATACCATCCTGGGAAGGGACGCTTTTATTACAGAGATGTCTCCTTCCTCTGTGACGAAGGTATGCCAGAAAGAAACCGTCCACCTGGATGGCAGAACAGTGACTATCATTGACACTCCTGGGGTGTTTGACACATCGATTCCTGAAAAAGAACTGAAGTGTGAAATAGAAAACTGCATCACGATTATTTTGTTCTTAATGCAAAATGTTCATAAATGAGAGAAAATCAGGTTCTTTTCAAATGTAGTTTTTTTAAATGAAAGGAGTAAAAATCTTTTACCTTCATATATACAGGATAATGCTGCATAGTCCAGATCCAATTCCAAACATTCATTAACATCAGGGAAGTTATTTTTCATCTTTTCTTTTTTTTTTGCACAGCATCAAAGGCTTCATTTTGTCTTAAAGGACATGGAACTGCACAAACTACGAATTCTCCTCAGATATGTTTGCTGTCTCAGGAATGTTGTATAACTTGTCACATCACAGAGTTAATGGTTTTTCCTTGCAAAAACACACTTTATGTTTTGTCCATGGCTGATTATCTGCTGGCAAGAAAATATCATATTTCCAGTCAGGCCAGATGACAACCTTGCCTGGTCCTGAGACAAGATCATCTGAGATGGGCCTCCACCCATGGCCAATTAGCAACAGACCAGATTTCAAAATAGCAGGTATGTGTACACGTCTTTTAGATATGAGTCACATGCTCATTAAGTTTGCACAGTGACAGCCCTGGTGAAAATATATAAATACTAAGTATGTTAAATTTTAACATACTTGAGCATACTTTAAGTCAGACTAATCATGAGTATACTTCAAGTTCATTTAGGATTAGTTAACTTAAAGTGTGACATTTTGTAACATCTAATTTTGTGCTTAGAGTACTTTAATATTATTTAAATGGTATTAATGCACAATTTAAAGTATACTAAGTCTACTTCAACATACTTTTTTGGACAACTTAAGTTTAACTTGGTGTGCTTTAAGTATATTTCTCTTTATGTAACATAAATGCTCTTGATTGGTATATTTTGAGTGTACTATTTTTGTGATTGAATTGCAATATATTTAGAATGTATTTTAAGTGTATTGGCATTACATATTTTATATATTAGTAGTGTGATTACAGTATGCTACAGTTACACTTTTGGTTAATTTGACTTAGGGGCCCCTCTTGCTGCTAAAAGCATCAGCACCTCTAACAGCTTCTGTGTCAGATTTAGTGAAATCTGGGAGAGGGGGAGTAGTTTACTTGGCCAACCTAAAAACAATCTGTTACGATTGCAGTTAACTAAGTATTTGTGAACAAACAGATCTCAAACTCAAAGATTAAAGTCACAGCATCAGAGTGTAGCTATGGTAACAAAACAATAACTATATGAACATTGTCCTTTGAACTTTCACAAAGTAAACTTTCCAGCTACTTAAAAATCTTACATTTAAATGTTAAACAATTTAACATATTTTATGTATGATGAAACAATTCAATCAAATTTAGCAGAATAGATAATCTCAATAAATAAATGTTACATTTATGTCTGTGTTAAAATTATGATTTATGGAGCCCCTCAAGCCCTGGAGGGCCTGATGAAGTGCAAATAATTTATATTAATTTTAATTGTATGTTTGATTAGTTGTATTTAAGACTAATTGTGGGTTTAGATAGCATTTCACTTGCAATATTTTCCCATAACATATAATTACCCAGTAATATTTTTATTTTTCCTTTCTACTAAATGTCTTTTAATACGAAAAAACAATGGACCGCCTTGGCGCCCCGACCAGCGGGCTCAGCATGTTTTCTGGGGAAAACCTTGTAAATATCATAGACATTTTTTAGTTTTCATTCCAATCTTTAAATTTTCCACTATTAAAATGCATTATGTATTTTGGTGTTTGTAATTTTAAGATACTGTTTTGTCTAGTTTATGAGTATACTTCAAGTTCACTTCGGATTCGAATTCTACAACAACTGCACTTATGTTTCTGTGAGCTGACGTGGAATTTCAGCAGGGATTAACAGTGAAAATGACAGATTAAAAAAAGGTTTGAGTGATTGCTCTTTTTATTTGGCTTATCATGATAAACTAGTTTAGAGCTCTGATCAAAATCTCACTTCCTTCTCATAAGCCTGGGGTTGAACCCTTTTTGTTGTCAGCTATCCAAGTCTCGTGTGGCACACAGGAGAGTTTCATTTCACTGGAAATGCTAAAGAGGAAAAAGGGAGGGACAGCAATAGTGAAGACTATAAAGGACTGCAGAAAGTCAGACAGGAGGAAGGTAGAGCTACGGGCAGACCTATTTTTGTTGCTTTAACTCAGATTTGATCCGGATTCCTTTTTCTTATTTTAGTTTTGCCTTCTGCAGAACATGGATTCAACCTCAGCTAAAGGTTGGTATTTCTTCTTTTAAACACATGGCTTATTGATGCTCAGTAAAAAGTATCCTGACCTCACTCTAAATCAAACTTTGACTTTTCATTTCTCGACACATTTTGTTTTGTCCTGTCAAAGACCTGAGAATCGTCCTCCTGGGAAAAACCGGATCTGGTAAAAGTGCAACAGGGAATACCATCCTGAAAAGGGACGCTTTTATTGCAGAGATGTCTCCTTCCTCTGTGACGAAGGTATGCCAGAAAGAAACCGTCCACCTGGACGACCGAACAGTGACTATCATTGACACTCCTGGGGTGTTTGACACATCGATTCCTGAGAAAGAACTGAAGCGTGAAATAGAGAACTGCATCAGTCTGTCTCTCCCTGGGCCACATATATTCCTGCTAGTCATCAATCTCTCTGCACGCTTCACAGTGGAGGAGAAAAATGCCATCAAGTGGATCACAGACAACTTCGGCGAGGAAGTCTCAAAGTACACAATCGTTGTTTTCACCAGGGGGGATCAGCTCAAAGACACCATCGAGAACTATTTGCACAAAAGCCCTGATCTGAGGAAGCTGACCAGTGACTGCAAAGCTGGATATGTTGTGTTTGACAATACATGCAAAGAAAACCGCACTCAGGTGGCTGATCTATTCGAGATCATAGACAAGACGGTTCAACTGAACGGCGGTCATTATACCAGCAAGATTTACAAACAGGCCCAGAACAAACTATGGTGGCAGCAGGCTGGGAGCTATGTGGGAACTGCAGGAAATTATTTATTGTGTGCAGCAGCAGGCGCAGCTGCACCTGTTGCTGGTGCTCTAGTAGCAGAGGAAGCCGTAGCTTTATCTGTACCACACGTGATGGCTCTAGGAGGTGCAGCGATTCTGAAAGGTGTTGGATGGTTCATGAGTCCCAAAACAGACAATAACTAAGGCAATTCAGAAAGTGACTGGAGCGTAGTCATACATGTACATTTAAACTTATGCACTCTCTTTATTGTGTAAATCTTACCTGTGTTAATACTTTGATACTAACAAATTAGGAATATTTTAATATCAATATTGCTTTCATTATGTTTATTTATGTAATTCTAATTTTTAAATGTCTGTATGATTTATACCAGATATTGAAGACCTATCTCCATCTCGATTGTGATGGGCGATAAACCTATCCACCTTATCACTGTAATAATGTATAAATTATGTGGGGAAAGCATTACATTATCTTTCTGTTTTATTTAAAAATAAAAAATGGTTAATGTTTTATGCTATCTTTTGTAGAAGAATCAAATATAACATGAAAAAGAATAACTGCACAATTATTTTGTTCTTAATGCAAAATGTTCATAAATGGGAGAAAATCAAGTTATTTTCAAATGTAGTTTTTTTTAATGAAAGGAGTAAAAATCTTTTACCTTCATATATAAAGGATAATGCTGCATAGTCCAGATCCAGTTCCAAACATTCATTAACATCAGGGAAGTTATTTTTAATCTTTTTTTTTTTTTTTGCACAGTATCAAAGGCTTCATTTTGTCTTAAAGGACATGGAACTGCACAAACTACGAATTCTCCTCAGATATGTTTGCTGTCTCAGGAATGTTGTATAACTTGTCACATCACAGAGCTATCGGTTTTTCCTGGCAAAAACAGTTTTGTCC